TAAAAAGCAAGAATCAGATGTGATCTAAAATTGCGATAGGCGTGGTTGTCGGCCGATTTCAACCATTATCCCGGCGTAACATAAGGAGATCTGGATAATATTGAGCACTAAACTTAATTGAGTATTTCATGAGATATAGGATTTCACCATCGGAATATGTGTTTCAAGTTTCATCAATATATCTTAATGTTTACCCAAGTTATCGCTTGCATAGACGGATGGACTGACAGTCACCCGGAATTCAACTCGTCCCGTCCACCACCGTCCACCACCGGCGAACCAAAATGTTGCGAGAGTATACAACATACGCGTTTCCACGAATTCTCAACCATACGTCGAAATAGGATACCAGAACAGTAAGTTCCCGTACCAAAACAAATACGAAACGTATGAGTACAAGCGGCACACACCAAAGAGACAATTAAATTTGGTTTTTATTTGACAAACGTACTTGAGGCCGGCGAAGTTTGTGAGGGGAAGCGTTGGTCTTGGAGATATAGTGAACCAGTAAACGCAAATGAATGCTTATGCATTTGGAATTACATATTTGCGAAAACAGATATACTTACATATGTACAAGTATATACTAATGTAAATGTTGGAGACCTTTTACAGATGGTGCTTCGAGCACTTGAACTTCAAAGCATCGCTAAGTAAATAAAGACATACAGACCGTGGTATCTGCGGTGTAAGCTCATGAGTTCGTGCAAATATTTTTACTTATGTATGTATATATAATATTATATATATTTATGTATTCGTTTGGGACAGTGTCATATCTTTAAAAGGGTTGAAAGGGTTTGTTGAGCCTGCTCTCCATTCAGGAAAAATGTATCGGTATTATTGCATTCAGATCATGCTACTCAGAAACAAAGATCTAACAATAATTAGGAATAATTTAAGAGAAAAATTTAAAACTTCCGGAATCCATTTTTTTCAGGTTAGTCAGTCTAGGGCCCTTAAATAAGGCTCAACTTTGACAACTTATCCTTCGAGTATGGAAAAAGAAATGGAGTTTAATATATAAGACTTTATTAAACATGTCTAAAGGTATATAAAAAAATGTTACATAACTGAGAATATCTCCGAAATCACCTTTTTTAAAAATAAAATAAAACCGTGATCCTAATCTACAAAAAAGTTGCTAGTAAAGTACGTAGGTTTATAGCTTTACATGCATTTTGCTTAAAACGGACTTGTCAGAAACATTGTATGTAGTTTAATAGATATTGTCTTAAATAAATTCTTTAACTATACTTTTATTAACTTTGGTACAATTGATCCTCTTTTCTTGGTAGAAATAAAACCTTTCAAACGACAATCCTTAAGTCCATCTGAATAAATTTTAAAGAAGAATAACTTACTGCCTAAAAAAATACATAAACATAAATGAAAAATCAAACACAGTGGTGTTCAAATATTTTTTACATATATATTCAAACCCCCTTATACCTAGCGAAAATGCGACAAGCCAAGATGAGTCCGCGATTAGTCTCAAAGGAGCATGTGACGGATATCATTTGTGATCTATTTTATATGGAACTGTTTCATTTGTTTAAGCATATCCGATGAAGTGACTAAATAATTGCACCCTTTTGTATCCAAAAGCTTACTAAAAAATAGTAATCGTAAAAAATCATAATAAATTTAATTTTTAAACAAAGATTCAACTAATCTGTCACTAAAAATATGTGTTGTAGACTAATTGATTCCCAATTGTGCCCTAAAAACAATAACAAGAGTCTACTCTCTTCAAAGTTTACTCGCAAAAATTTTTGCAGGGTACTTTTAATGTATCCCCTCCGCCACTGGCTCTCTCGACGTATAAACACATTTCGGGTACTACACCATATAATGCTGCCATAAAACAAAAAAAATTACCCAAGCTTTCAAAAATTGAAAACTTCACAAATAATAATTAAAACGAAAAAAGAAAACGACAACTTTCAACACGGCGGTACATTACAAAGCGAACCAAATGGAGTCACATGTAATAGATAAACAAAAGCAATGGCAATAGCGGTCGCATTCAAGTGGTCGCCACTCAAAATTGATGACTGCAGTGTGTTGAAGATATTGCACACGCGCGCCACATATGGTCGACTATGATGTTGACAACAGTCTCTCCTAATGAACTTTAGTGTGTTGACATGCTTAGACGAAATGAAAATAAGTCAATTGTGGAACATTTGTGTATTTATAGGGTCGCATATAATATTCGGAAAATAGATGCAAAGAGAAAAGAATGCCAATTTTTCTGACCTTATGCACTTAAGAGAAATCTTCATGTCTTACTAGTTATCTCCAGAAGAAGCTAACTTATCTATATCAGGGTTAGGGGCTGCATTTCTATTACTTTTAGAATGGGGCAGCACGGTCTGCAAGACGAGGGGTGAATCTTTCGTTGAAATTATTGTAAGTAGTAACCTTAGTAATGAGCATATGGGTTTTGAACGCACGAGGAATAGAAGTGAACTCCTTGACATTACTTTGATCTCACAATAGAGTGTCGCCAGAGATCTCCATGTCAGATCAAAAAGTCACAAAATTGGCACTAAAAGTAGCGGTCAAGTAGCAAATTTTTTTATTCAAATAATTAATGTAAAGTTTAAAAAGTACTTACTTTACTAGAAAGTCATGTGTAGATGAAATTCCCGTTTTTATACTCTTAGTGACATAACTAAGCACTAAATTAAAATCTAAAACTATACATTGCTCAGAAGATTGCAGCAGAAGGGGGCAGCTGTAGGCCAAAAACTTTGAAATAGTGGGCGTGGCCCCGGTCTATAATAGGTTTAATGCACATACCTCTTAAACTACTAAAGCTACAATAACCAAATTATATCAGATTATATCATTAACCCGCCCTCTCACCATATAACGGTTTTGTTAAAAACTACTAAAATTACGATAAATCAATAACTAAATTCTTCAGAAACATAAAATTTCACACCCGAAATAGTACAAGGAGGCGGCGTCAAATTTGGACGATGGGAGTGGCCCCGCCCACATTTGATGAAAATCCATTTCTGGGGACCTACGCGACCGATTTCAACCAAATTCGGTATGTTATATTATCCTGATATTCTTACGTTACAGTGTGAAAAAAGGCGTAATCAGATAAAAACCATTTCCGTTATACCACAATTTTGATTGGTTTTTAGATAATAATATACCCTTGTGTCAAAAATGGATTGAACCGGATCAATACTTCCCCTAGCCTCCATATAAATAATATACAGATCTTCGAACTACCAGATGACTTTATACGACATATATACAGGTTGGTTAAAAAGTTGCCAGCTCTCACCAAGTAATAGCACTACTAGCTACCAAATTTTTTTTGTCTCAAGTTGGTACATCTGTCGTGAGAACACATGGAAAGTTACAAATCATTCTGTCAATTAATTCGAAGTTGACGTGTCAGAGTACTTTTTTAATATGGAAAAAATTTAATATCGCGCAGTGATCAGATTCTTTGTTTTGAAATGTTAAAAAGCAAAGGAAATTTATGAACAATTGTTAGGCTTGAAGATGATCCACGCGAAGGACGATCAAAACCCGCAACCTCACCAGAAATCATTGATCAAGCTCATAATATTGTTAGTGAAGATCCAAGTTTGACTAAGCGTAAAATTGCTAATACCATAGGCATCTCACACAAACGAGTACTTCATATTTTACATGGACATTTAAATATGAACAAGCTCTTTAGACAGTTAGTGCCGCACATGTTAAAATTTCAACCAAAACTGGATCAAAAACCAATTTCTCAGGATAATTTTGAGCGTTTTAAGCAGAATAAAACCGACTTCTTGCATCGTTTTATAACTTTGGATGAGACTTGGATCTACCACCATCATCCTAAATTTAAACAAGAACGTTTACAGTGGACTAAAGCTGGTTGTTCAGCTCCAAAGCAGGTGAAGTTACAACGATTAGCAATGAAGGTTATGGCATCAGTTTTTTGGGATCCAAAAAGAATTTTGTTGATTGATTATCTGCAGAAAGGTGAAACAATCAACTCGGAATATTATTGCAGCCTTTTGGATCAGCTGGATGAAAAAAATCGTAAGAAAAGACCTGGTTTGCAGCACAAAAAATCATTTTTCAGCAAGACAATGCACCTGCTCACAAAGGTATTTTAACAATGACAAAATTCAACGAATTTAAGTATGAATTGCTTGAGCATTCACCTTATTCGCCAAAATAGGCTCACAGAGAAACCTGAAACAATTCCTTCGTTCGAAAGAGTTGAATGAAGAAGCTAAAACAGCCGTAAACGGGTATTTTGCAGAGCTTCCGGAAAGTCATTATAGGGACAACATAAAATTATTGGAGGATTATTGAAAGAACTGTGTTAAAGTTAAGGGATATTGTATTGAATAAAAAAATATATTTCGCACCAGTAGTTTTTTTTCATTTCGAGCGCAGAAACTTTTCAACCAACCTGCCTATCGGCTAATGTGCTAGTTATTTTACTGAAATGGAGAGAGCGTGTTTTTCTAATAACAATGTATCTTTGTACCTAATATTGATAAAATTGGGGGAAAACTTGCCCTAGCCTCCATATAGCTGATATTCTGGGTTTTGAAACGTCCGGCTGATCATATATATATTATATACATATGTTTATATTTATATGTTTATAAAATGTTGTGAAAATAAGTTCGCAAGTATACCTGAGCAATGTCAAAAAGTATTGCAATCAGCCCTTCCATTTCTATTCCCCCAATAATTTTAGTATAATTTTCGCTGACGGAAAGTAAAATATAGCAATAAAACTAAGTGAGTCTATGAAATTATTTTGATACCAAATTTGATTGTAATCGTGTAATATTTAAAAAGGTCTTTAAGAGAGAATTGTCAAACTTAGGCTCTAGACTGACTTCACACCTTGGGGCTAAAATATCAATATAGTGAAGCGCCTGAACAACTACCCCATGTTTTTAACTTCAACTTCTTTCATAAAATATATATTAAATGAATTGAAGAGTGAAAAATTAGTTCGCCTAATATAATAATGATTTCATTTATTATCATCTTCGACCTCCACCGTTCACAAAGTACTTATTTACTTTAATGAAGCTTTTTAAAGCTCCAAAGCGCAATGAAAGTGTTAAATCCAGTTACTTGTCATCGCATCTGGCACGTCATGAAAATGCCATGCTCTCCACAATGCGACAAACCAGCCTAGTAACGTTGCGAGTAAGTAGTCCCGCTAATTGATGGCGCAAATGAGTTTTTAATGTTGCGGGCGGATGGCAGATTATTTTGTCATTTTACGAAAAACCACTCAATTAAATATGCACAAACTCACTTGCAAACGAAAATTCAGTTACATTGAGTTGGATGGAAAATCTTTTCCATTACCACTATTCAGTCGAGTTGCATTATAGCAATAATGCAAAAAGTAACTGTAGTACGACGTAAACTGTAAGTATTCTATTAACCTGCGACATATATGAAGAGTTTGGGATTTACGGTATTCTATTGGTAGTATTTAATGAGCTTAAGAGATACGTTATTACTTGAAGTCGTCTGACTATTTTCATGTGCCAATTTTACTTCATCTTTTGAATCAGAGAATCACCGCATAGTGATGATCAAAAATATATATGAGTATATATAGTGTAACACGAATATTACTTGTAACTTGTAAGGCATGAGAAAGACCTCTAAAACTTTTTTATATAAATTCCATACGAGTGAGCTGAGAGTTTCCAGAATGAGTTTTACAATTTCTCATGAGCAACTGGTTGGTTTCCTGTTGTAAAAAGAGAGCTTACCTCTGACAGAATTATCCAAATAATAACATAAGTGGTAATCGGTCATTGACATTAATAAGTTTACATACTTCAATATTACACAAATACAATACAAACTACGGTTATAAACCAACATCAGCGTTAGCTTATTAAGCTAGCATAATTTTTCGCCGGATATTTCAAAATATAATATGATACTTACAATAGACCACCTCGACGCCGTCAGTCCAATCTCATTCTCTTACCATCACTGTTTTGTGATGTACAAAATCGGTTTGCAAAGAAACTCTACGCCACATAAAGAATGCAGATACTTACATACGTACATACATATGTAGTGCTCTGTACACACCTTTGAAACTGCGTGAGAACTATTCGACCAGTAAGCGAGTAACTGTGTGAATAAGCGGCTGCACGTTTCTGTCACTTTGATAATCAGTAAAAGTTGCCACTGTGTGGTGTTGGCGGCATACTTTGACCATTCTGCGGTGTCGCAATGTCACATCAACTCAACCTGACCCGGGCCACCTGAGTGGAGCTGAGCTAAGATAAGACCGTGAGAGATGCGTCACAGGAATGTCATATATCTTTGTGGTTTTCAAGCTGACAGTTCAGACTATGATTGCCTCGGAAGTATGAGCAGCTATAATACTTATAAACATATATGTGAGTGGAAAGTAAACTTTTGCGGGAGTAGGTACAATAAGTAATTACCGGTCAGAAAGATTTATCAGAACTCGGGTAGCTCTCCAGTGATGACCATTATTTTGAGTGTAGTTGGAGAATAAAACTTTTAGACTATTAGTTAGACCTTTTGTTCCTATTATGGTCCTTTTCATAATACTGGAACTTCGCTCCTACAAATTCGAATGGTTTTGGAGTATGGTGACACTTCTGAGTTGTTTGAAGCCAAAAGACATTTAAGACAAATGAACACGCTATATAAGACTGTCAACAGAATGCTAGATACATTCTTCGACAGATTTATTGACCGACCGACGGAGGTAGAATAGCGTCGACTAAGTACTTACAACGTTTAAACAGGGTTCGATAGAATGGAAGATACGGCATTCTGAAGCCCAAATATTTTAAGTATTTCTTGCAATAATTCCAAGATGATAATACTACGGATAAATTTGTAAATACCCTATAAAAAGTGTGGTCATGTTAATTATTTGTAATGAAGCTTCCTCTTCAAGTATCTCTTATATATCTACATACATAACTGTTTTTCCAGAGTTTTTGACAATACAGGAGACTTAAGCTTTATAATTGTGAATATATTTTACCGTTTCCTTGGTGTTTTCGATTTTTTTTTGAATCCGAAGCATCAAGCCTAAAGAACTTAAGTTTCCTATTAAGAAAGCTAAAGATTCGACTATATATTATCATTATTTATTTTAACAAAACCATTTGGTACTAGTTCCTCTTTTCCTTACAAGGTAAATGAAGGCTGTAAAAATATATCAACAAAGATGAAAAACAAACATAGTTTCCATTTTCAACCAATCTTCTTCCAGTCGTGCGATTTATATGGTCGTAAAATAATTGCGGTTACTCCTTTTGATCTCAATTTTCCATGGGAACAAGTGGTTACGTATGTACATAAATGCGATATAAATTTATTTGATATTATATGATATATTTACATATACAATATTTTTATTATTATTTGTATTATTTGTATAGTTTTTATACGATGGGTAATAAATCTAAGCTATAATTGTGGTTACGACATAATTACAGTGCCGCGGATAATGGAATTAAAAGACGTGATCTCGCCTCTATGAATTTAATAAATTGTAAGGAAGTAGTCGATCCAGAGTCGGCAAGTCGGCTTGTCGGTTGTGTTCATTTGCGTAATTATAATATACTCTTTGGGAAAAATATTTTTTTTGGGCATATAGTTAAGGAAAAACATGAAAAAAGATTAATTAAATACATTTCAGGGAAATTATAAGCAGTTTTTACATCTAGTAGGAGTATGTTTTCTGTTTGTACTCGGTGTGGTCTTCTGTTTTCATACTCTTACAACATGTTGCTACAGAGTATAATTGTTTTGTTCACCTAACGATTGTTTGTATCTCCTAAAGCTAATAAAGATATATATAGATAATAAACATTTGTGTTCCCTTTTTGACTGTATAACCGTTGACATATATGGATAAAATTTATAAAATTGGAAAGGAGAAGACGTGCAAAAGTGCATAACATTATTTTTTCGTATGTTCACACAGGGAACTAAGGTAAAAAGACGTTGTCGCAAATTTAGCGACTACAAGCGCGGTGCTCGTTTTCATTGGTCGATGTTATTTCGCCTTTGCGTGTCACACTTAACACAGTCGTATACAGAAACACATTCCGTCGCTGTCGCTTTGCGTGTTGCAACACTGAATTCTGTTACAATTACATTTTTAACGCACATTAAATTTCAAGTATTGTTTGTGAAAAAAAACTCATTGAAGTGGAAATTACCTTTGATATCATTCGATTCATTTGGGTAAATTCGAAATTTTAATGCAAATTTCAAATGCATTGTGTCATAATCAAATTGTTTACCATATTTGCAGAGGTTATTTAGTTGGTTGAATCGACGTCAATAGCACTTCAATTCGAGAGATAATTTCGTCGTGTGTTTTGACGATATCCCATTACTTCCTTTATTATTGAGTTAATTTTTATACTCTCGCAACCTGTTGCTACAGAGTATAATAGTTTTGTTCACCTAACGGTTGTTTGTATCACCTAAAACTAATCGAGTTAGATATAGGGTTATATATATATAAATGATCAGGATGAAGAGACGTCCGTCCGTGCAAGCTCTAACTTGAGTAAAAATTGAGATATCTTTATGAAACTTGGTAGACATGTTTCATGGTACCGTGAGACGGTTGGTATTGCAGATGGGCGTAATCGGACCACTGCCACGCCCACAAAACGCCATTAATCAAAAACAAATAACTTGCCATAACTAAGCTCCGCAATAAGATACAAGACTGTTATTTGGTACACAGGATCACATTAGGGAGGGGCATCTGAAGTTAAAATTTTTTTTAAAAAAGTGGGCGTGGTCCCGCCTCTAATAGGTTTAATGTGCATATCTCCTAAACCGCTAACGCTATAATAACAAAATTCACTGGAAGCAAATATTTTTAGCACTTCTATTGACGGTGTGAAAATAGTTGAAATCGGGTGGCAACTCCGCCCACTCCCCATATAACGGTACTGTTAAAAACTACTAAAAGCGCAATAAATCAAGCACTAAACACGCCAGAGTCATTAAATTTTATCTCTGGGATGGTATGAGATGACTTTATAGGAACCGCGTTCAAAATTAGACAGTGGGCGTGGCACAGCCCACTTTTAGGTGAAAACCCATATCTTGAGATCTGCTTAACCGATTTCAACCAAATTCGGTGCATAACGTTCTTTTCATGTTTCTATGTCACAGTGAAAAAATGGGCGAAATCGGACTACAACCACGCCTACTTTCCATATAACACCATTTTAAATTCCATCTGATTATTTCACTTTCCACTATGCAAATCAGGCAACAATGACTGTATCGGGATAAAACTTTGCGTGAATAATGCGATTAAAGTATGCCACCTTGTGGCCAAAAATTGTCTAAATCGAACCAAAACTGTTTAAGCCCCTAAGTACTAAATATGTGGACCCCAGTGCCTATAGTTGACCTTCTACCGAAAATATCAGCCAATCCACAAAGAAATCTCAAACGAGTATACTATTTGACTTTGCGAGAGTATAAAATGTTCGGTTACATCCGAACTTAGCCCTTCCTTACTTGTTTTCTTTACGTTCATTTCCTAATTTTATTTCTGTGTTTCTTACTTTCCCTGCATACAAGCGATTTGATTTCATGATGACAGAGGATAGGAATTTGTTTGACAATTTACGATGGGAGGAAGATGTTGTGCAAAGTCGCATTGTCGAAATTGTGGCTTCACTAGGCGACTCCTGAAGAATAAATGTACGCAGCAGAAGATAAGATAATATCTTTGTTGAAAGGATCGCAAAATGGAGCATCAGTTCGAGACTTCATAGGTATTTTAGTCAAACAATTCATCAATATTTTATACTAATTATTTTGGCATTATTTCGCAAATGCATACGTGGCAATATATGACGACAAATTCAACTTGGACGATTAGATTCGATTGATCATTCAAGGAAACAGAAACAGAACAAATGCTTTTGCACGAGAATGAATTATAAATTTTAATTTATAAAAATTTATTTTTTTAAATTTTTATCTACAATATCCTTTAAATTTTTTTTACATTTTGTTCAAATTGTTCAATAAAATTTAAATACTAATAACATTGTTAATGCATTGTATTTTCTATTGGTTGAATAAATATAGGAGTATATATAAATGATCAGGATGATGAGACGAGTTGAATTCCAAGTGATTATGCGTCTGTCCCTCGGTCTATGCAAGCTATAAATAGAGTAAAAATAGATATATTGATGAAGCTTGGTACAGATGTTCCTTGGCACCATAAAAAGGTTGGCATTGTAGATGGGCGTGATCGGATTACTACGGCACCAACAAAAGGCATGCAATCGAAAACTTATAAATTTCCATAACTACGCCGCAAATAACAATCCAAAACTGTAATTTGGTTCAACGAATTGCATTAGTGAGGGTAACTCTGGATTAAAATCATTCAAGTTACTTCTCCCAAATTTTCACAAAACAAATCCTTTAACACCTCTTATGACAGTGTGAAAATGGATGAAATCGGATGATTTTCCCACATCCCATATAACGGTTTTGTTAAAAACTATTGTACTAAGAGTGTGATAAATCAATAAACAAATGCAAATATAGGTAAATTAATATGTTGGCATCTTTTTTTGTTAACAATATGTGGTAATGCCAACTCTCCCCCATATATGTAAAATATAAGATTTTAAAAATTTCCCGTTGGTTTTATTTAAAGTACCTCAACAAAAATAAAATTCATTGAAAATTAAAAGCGATATATAGCATTGTGTGCGGTAGAGAATTAACATTATTATTCTTACATTGTCAAATGTCTATGAATTATTTTCAGCAGTCACAACGTGGGTTAAATTCTCGGGTCGGGCTTTCATTTAAAAATCCAATATAATTATAGCAATTAGTTTTGTATATTCTAAAAGTTGGCTAAATGTCTATGGCTATGTACTACATACTTGAAAATTCTAAAATCGTCCTTTTATTCTGGGACATATGTATGTATAATCCCAATATGTTACAATACGTGTTAAAGTTGTAACGGTTAGGATCGAGTGGCCGAAAGGCATTTTTGTTAATTTTTAGAGTAATATTTATTCATATCTTGATTGTAGTTACATATTTATTTCTTTAATTTGTGAAAGCATTTCGAATCAGTATGGTGTATTGTACGTTTTTCCTACCCAAACCCAAACGAAGTGCATCGTACGCAGCGTCTGCGATTACCATGATTTACTGGCAAGTGATCTTCAATATTGGAAAGATCAATTTTAGAGCTCTTGGAAAATCTACCTCCTCGACATCGTCGCTGTTTTGCAATTCTCTTACTGGCCTCGAGAATAATATTTTCTAGCGGATGCAAAAATTCTGTTAGAGACAGCTTAATATTGTATCTTCATTATAGATGATCCATGAATTGATTAGCACAATCGTAAGGATTTTATTGAAGACTTTTTCATCCAGCTTGCTAAATACTTGAAACTCAATACAGTTATCAGTAATGTTAAATACTCCCTTTACTCCATGTAATTCGACGTGGTTTCCGTTATTATCAGTGGTAATTTCTTCGCAAACGTCAATTTCAGAGGCGGATGTTTGTTCACAAGTAGAGTCTTCAATACCGTCACCTATGTCCAAACTTTTAACCTCAATAAGCTCAACATCGTGTATACTCGTATATAGTTTCCTTTTCGACTTCTGAAATGTCGATTTGAATTATACATACTCGTATATCCTATTTAAAAAAACGTATTACGATCTTATGTCCCACTGTCATGTATAACTCACATTGTATCAGTGCTTAACGCTTCAAAGATAACTTTTTATATAGATTTACTATTTTTCTCACTGAAAAAACACTACTAGTGTGCACTTTGAAGCTTACACCCTTACTATCCTCAAAATTTGCGATCGAGCTTACGAATTTTTTCTCTTTACATTGTGAAATAAACACTAAAAACTGCGTTTGGAATGGCTTACATTGGCGCTCACTTTAAAAATAATAAAAACACAGAAGTTTGAAATCTGTTGGAACATATTGTCCTGTTATCATATCCATTCGAAGAGCAAATGGCAACCACAAGTTTTTTGCAGTTGCTGTTATATGTTGCTTTGGATTGACTGATATACTTATTTTCGAAAAATAGAAATGGTACTATCTCATAACCATGTTCTACCTTTAGACAAGTGTGTTTTTATGGTTCCAATATTTAGCAAGTATGGTAAGGAAGTGCTAAGTTCCGGTGTAACCGAACATTTCATACCCTTGCAACTTGCAAAGATCAATTCCGGGGACATTCCTTCAGGCGTTGGCTAAGCTATATTTTAAAAATGTTGCGAAAGAATTCAGCCTTTATTGGATGGAAATATAGGAAATATTGGAAGCAGAAAAGGTTTGGACTGATCGCACGAACTTTTGACATGTCTCACGTATACTTGAAAACAAATTTTCAAGGAATTTTATAAATATATACCTCATACACTGGGCGAAATATTCGGCATAAGGTTTGTTAGAATAAAAATTATTATATGTAGTATATGGGAGTTTGGGTTTTACATATTTTCGGCATTAAACTATAGAGCATATGTATATAAAGTATTTTACGTAGTAGATACGTACTTTTTCTAAAATGTTCAAACATTGACGCCCCTCTCTAATGCTCAATCGTTGGGAGTCACTCAAGTAGCCATTCCAAAACTTTTAGGAATTCAAAAGCAAGAAAATTGGGTGACATGGGAATTGAAGCCAAGAGACTATGTAAGACGACTGTGCATGTCAGAAAAGCTGCTTGTACGCTAGAAAAAGAAGTCGTTCTTGCAACGGCGCGAAAAAATGGTTCCATTACGACAACCCTAAAAGCAAAAAATTTTATGTGAAACCTGGACAATCAATAAAATTAACGACAAATATCAACACCGACTATCAATAACGCCAAGGTTTGTATTTATTTGTTGGAATCAGAAGATTGAACTGTTTTTAGCTTTTTTAATCAGATAAAACAATTAATGACGAATGCTACCGACAACGATTGCCGAAAAACGCCTAGAATTTGCGACTAGACACGAGACAATAATTTTCCAACTTGCAATGCCAGCGTTATGTTACAAGATTGGTGAGAAACTATTTGGAAAACAGCAACTGAAAAGTTTTGTCTTACCCGCTTTGTAACCTAAACCTGGCCCTTTCTGACTACCATTTGTTCCAGCCGATGCAGAATGACTTCACTGAAATTGGTTAATGTTCCAACAGGGTATCAAAAGTTATCTTGATTTATTTTTGGTTGCCAAGCCGTCGCAGTTCTTTTGTAATAAAATCCGCAAACTACCAGAATGATGGGAAAATATCATTGTATATGTTTTTCCTAAATAAACGTTCACATTTTTAAAAGCAAACCGCACGAATATAGGTATTGGCCTAATATCATAATATAATTTTTTAAAATAACCACAAAACGCCACATGATACCACAAAGTGTGCTGCCAATGACTAATTGCTTTAATCAAATTGAGTATGTTTGAACGCAAAACCCGAGGAGAAAATTAACGTATTTTGCCTTTGATAATTTGTGCTGATAAATCTACTTAAATTTAACAAAAACATAATTCTTCATTTCAGTTTTTAAATTTGGTTCAGAAACACACTTAATTTCTTCTTTTGCCGGCCCCTTTTTAACAGATAATTTTTAATTTATTCACTGTGTTCCATAACATTTTCATTTGTGCATTGTCAGCCAGAAATCCGTAATTAACTCCAGCTCCTAAAAGCAGACAATGTAAACGTAATCGCAAGCTTTGCCAGCCAAATCACAAATTCACACACATACATGTTCATATGTGGCAACAAACATATGCGCGCATCCGGTTTGATGTATTGAGGGGAATTAAGTGCAACGACGGCTGGCTTCACTCATTGCATGCAAAGTCATTTCACAAAGCAAATTAGAAAACCGGGAAACATCCTTTATCTCCTTTGTATGCCTGTTGCTTGTAAAAACTGAAAGGCGCATAATTATTTCTTTATTAGCGGGGGTTGGAGCTTTGGCCGCAGCGCGTAGCAAAATGAGTTTGCTACGACACTGAAGAATAAACCTTTTACAACGGCAACAGCAGCAACAGTTGTTGTCTCGATTATAAAAGACAAGTCATTAGACGGTTCCGCTTTTTCCCACTTTTCATTTAACGATTTCGTTTGAAAAAATAATAATGGACGTGGCACTGGGCACAATTAAGTTAATTTTAAAATCTCACCAGCTTCTTGATTTATTGATATATCCACAGTTCAAAAATAGTAATAACCATATTCATTGCACTTATGCTTGCCCTCAGCAAGGGTCATCTAACCTTAGTGGTAGGGGTTCTAATCTGTCATTGCACAATGCTGTCTCTGCGATAAGTTTTTCTGGATGAAAATTGTCGAAATTCCTTGAAAGAAGGCAAAGTAGAATCATCATCTCACTTTGTACTAGAAGTTTTGCAAGCTTTGCAAGTTTGAGATTGAAACATATGTGTATGATTTCATTGATTTCATATCATCAATGGACAATGGATAGATTATTGCTTTGATATATTTTAAGGAAGATCAACATTAGTCAAGTATGAAACACTGGAAGAGGTATCGTTCGCGAGGACACCGAGTTAGTGGAAATTCGCATCAAGCGCAGGCATCTTAACGGAACTCTATCTGGTATCGCAAAGCACCAAAACTTTCCCATGCGTGGCACATTAGGCTGCCTACTAACCTAATCTAACACTAGTCAAATATAGGAATAGGAAGATGGGGAAAGCTTTCCTCAAAAGTAATCAAATAACGGCATAGTTCTTTCCAAAGGAATCCTATCGAAAACAAAAAAAATTCAAAGTGGCTAAGCGATAACGCTCGGATTTTTAGGTACGAGTCTAGCATTGTCACGCTTCATACGCAAAACATTAACCAAAGTGGGTCTCTGACGCCAACACTACGATTTTCGATGCTATCGTCATTAACCGAGGTGAACAAATGGTATATGGTACATTTCCTTCAAACAATGTTGTATACAACTGTTACAACAAAAACATTACATGGGGAATTGTTTTTTCCGTTACAATAATAACTTAAAGAGCACTAGAATTCAACCATATTTTTATTTAACATCAAATTTATTTATGATCATTTTTTTTGATCGATTATTTTTTGGGTAATTTAACACAAACTTTGCGAACTTGGAGATATACATACATATGTATTTAATTATCTTAAATTAATTGTATATGCAACAACAGTAAATACGAGCACGTACATAATTAAACATTTCGATTGAATTGTATATATTTGTGATATTGAAAGCGAGGGTAAAAATTAAAATAATAGTAATATAATGACATAAACCGAACTTTATACATAAAACACTTAAAAATTAGCGTTACAAATAATACGTATAATAAAAAAAGCGTTAGTTAAAATCTGACTAACAGCAACAACGAGCATATGTGACCTTTAACGAATGTGTACACTGCTTAAGTACCAACTAATGCGAAATAAATATAATAAAACGCACGGAGCACTTTCCTCACTTAAATATAAGTCTGTGTGAATGCATGCGGCCATGAACGCAGTAACTTTTTGCATTGTAAATCACGTGTTTTAATCGGTTTTTTGCGATGTCTTCATGGCCGCTAGTCGTGCGAATTTTTCACGCTTCGTGACGCCATCACCACCGCCACCCACATCGTTTCGTGCCTGTGGCGAACCACCTACCGAAGATGCAGCTGACGAGGCAGTTGATACCGCTGAAATGCTCGACGTGGTAGACGAAGCAGATGGTGACGATGGTGGGTTGAGAACACCAGTAGCTTGCACTGCACTGCTGCGCCGATGCCAGTGTAAAATCGGTGAATCGTTGACTGCCGCCACACCACTGGACGAATTTGTGCGTCCGATCACTTTCAAAGTCGCACGATGCCCACCGACAGCCGTAGCTTGTAGCGCTGTCTGATTTATGTACGAACTTCGTAGTATACAACAGGTAACTAAAAATGGCACTGCTATAATCACAAATAAGCCCAAAACAATTATGGCCAGCACATCTACTAATTCAGAACGCATAAAGTTCAACTCATTTGCATGGGATTTGAGAAAATCGCCGCCACCTGCGCTTTTTAAAACTAGCTCAATATAATGTATGCTCCTGGCGATTGGGGTGCCGTATGTAGAGTTCAGCAGGAGCCGCATTTCAGCTACTTGCAAAGCATAGTTGCGATGTGTCGCCAGCTTTTGTATATTCAATGAGAGTGCATCATAAGTAAATGCATCGAAGGAGATCATTTGCCCGATGCCCAGCTGCTGTAAGCGTCTAGCGCTCACCTCCTGCTCGGGAACGATCGGTATGGCAAGCATCGGTGTGAGGCCATTTATGGATTCAATAATACTCATTAGGCCACAGGTGCTAATGAATACTTTTACATTGGTGTGCGCTATGACGGAAGAAGAGTAGAGCAATTATTTGAAGTAGAGCCATAAAATTATTTTATTTATTACTTACTTAAAATGGGTTCCTGTGGCCACCATTCGGCAATCATTGCATTCTTCGGTAGTGATGTATAAAATTTTGGATCTTCCCATTTGATTAGGAAATTGTAGTCCTTCAGATCTGTAATAACGTCCAAGAGAGTGTCCAGTTTTTCACGCGCTATATCTGCAATTCGCGCATCAGCTCCAAGACTTATGTAAACCGTTCCTTTTGCTGCAGATTCTATAAAGTAGGCAATATGCTACAAAGAAAATTGTTAGATTTAATTGCTGAAGGACAAATATGTATACACACATACTGTAGGCAGTTCGATTTGCTTTTGTGCGCCACGCAAGTGTGCGCCAGCAATCTCCAGCATATTTGGCAAGTAAGCGCGCGGATATTGCACTATAGGATGTGAGTTTATTAAAACAAGGCTAAGGTTTTTAGTTAGATCGCGGTGATGTGGTAACGTGGTGTTGGCAAGCTGGCATAATGCGTGAAAGTGTTTCGTGTAAACGGCTTCTTGTGAGATCATGTAAAAAAAGCTGAAAGTAATGAAATATAAGAATTTGATGTATATATAATTGAAAAGATGTTAGGACACACTTATAGGTCAACTTTTCAAAAAGACCCATTAGGGTATTTACGCTACGCTGCCATAAACCCATGCGCTCCGAGTAGGGCAAGAAAATACTGGGATCGAGTGCTGAGCTTTGTGGATTTCCGGTCATCTGATTAAGCCATGTATTTGCACCAGTGGGACTTATTACAACGGTGGGTATTTGATAGTAATGCGCTAAGCTATAAATGTACAAAATGGTAATATTTAATATACATACACAGCTACCATTAATATATAGATCACCCTAATAGCGAATCGCTGAGAAAAAGATCAACCACAAACAAATCGAACTGTTCTCCGCTGCGTACTAATTTTCGCACCTTTGCATCGCCAAGTAACAAATCAACATTAGTCGCGCCGGCATACATTAATCGGGTAAAATGCTCCAGAATTGAGCGTTGCCGTGATTGCTCCACATCGAAGGGCAAACCCATCTCCTCCCAGTTTTCTCGTAAACCATCAATGCGTATTTCGCGTATTTTCTGCTGCACTGGATACTCTTCGGCATGTGGACTTATCAATGTAACCGAATAGTTGGACTGTATTTCCACCAATTGTTGCAGTAAGCGTTTACCAAAGAGATAATGCGACTTCCAAACGCTTGGCAGCACAGCAAGCACATTTGCGCCATACACAAAGTGTAACGGCGCACCGAGCATAGACAGCAAAGCTACGGTAGTGATTACCTTCGCCATTAATTAAATTATTGCCCTTTACTTAACGTCGCAGCAGTGCGTTGGGTTATTGACCGTTTGACCTTAGTACCTGCTAATCGCCACAGTTATGTGTCAAAGTTTGTCTAACTTGGTGTTGTTAATTATTTGCAATCAAGTTATCGATATATCTAAATTAGCGAAATTGCTCACTTGTTTGTTAGGTTAAAAGAAACTATAGCTGTGATGCTGTGTTATACCACTTAAATGTGGGTGTTGTAATTCCGGTTCTACGGATTCATTACCTCGTCCTGCTGGATATACTATTTCCAACAAATACTGTCGTTTAACAAGTAGTTGTATGTTTTGTTGACGTACATTAGTTTTTGCAACTTCGGGTTACTTTATATCGCTTAAGAAACATGTTGGTTTTTATTTTCTCCAAGTCATTATTTTTTTTATTTACATACAATTAACAGTTGCTACGGTTTAATATATTCATTGTATCCAAGAATTTAGAATTTATGATATATAAACGGCACTGTGCACTGGAAAAAGGAGACAAAAGCAAATTAGATAAAAACATAAACGCAAAAATTGGCAACAAGCAGCGTTCTGTAAACAAAGCCAAAGCAGAGAACGTATATCATCTGGCCAAAGCAACAAATTGTCAAAAACATATGTGCAAAAGCCATCTTATTTATACTAAAATATTGAGGGATTTTAGCGGTTGTTAAAAATTGATTTCAGAGAACGTATATAATATATAATTTTATGTTATTAATAAACATATTATTATTATATAATATACGCTCTCTGTTGATTTGCGCAAGTCACAGTTTTAAAATTAAAAAAAGGAGTGCTAGATTTTGACAGGATTGTACAGAAACAACTAACTTTTTGATTCACACTTGAAAATTATTATTTATATATATACATATATATATTTTCTTTGATTTTAGTATTTATGATATGATGGAAATCATACATTTTCATTCATTTACATCTGATATAAATTAGCATTTTAAAAAATATTTGATTTATGTTGTGGCAACGTCATGGTGTTTTTAAGAATTTTCGAACTTCGAATTGTGTGCTTTTCAGCTGTTTCCGACTGACATCACAGAACGTATATCAATATATAATATACGTTCTCTGCTGACATGCGCCATAAACAAATAAAATAGAAAGGTAAACAACAAATGGTCGGCGCAGTTGGAATACAAGTAAATAGTGTTCATTCATAATTATTGCGAGTGGCATTTCTATTTTAAGGTTTGTATTAATCAGAGATGCTAATTAATTGCTATATAATAAATATTACTGAAAATTTAAAAATATTTAATTTCTATTTTAAATATTATATAAATCATATTTGCAAAAATGTGTATGTATTTAATATACATTTGGCCTTCTGCCAAAATACAAGTACAAAGTCTGATAGAAACAACTGCTAGAAGATTTGAAAATCAGAAGTTTTTGCAGTTGCTTTTTTATTGTGCTTTAAAATGATATGTAATTTTTTATATGCAATCTTATTTTTTTATACAATATTTACTGGGTCACTGCTTCTTATTAGATTGTCAGCATCAGCATTTATAAAGGTGATTACGCAACGTCATTACAATTTTGTGTGCCTATTGTGGAATTTGAAAGAACGAAATGGCTTTAACACTTGGTAAATAGACATGCTTGTGCTTCGAATGATTGCTCTGATACACAATAACATTTTATTTTTATATACACACTTAGGACGCATCAAGGTAGACGAGCCCCTCTATGATCTAAGCACTTTTGCCGGGCGCTTTCGCTATTTTGCTTGGATGACGGATCCACGCACTGTCACTGTTTCGAACGACCGTTTATTAGAAGCAAAAACGCTGGTAGAAAATTATCGTGTGGGCAAGGAACCAGAAAATACTTCGCAAGAACAAGTCAAATATGCGCTAAAACTTTATTCATCTGCCTTCCATCCTGATACTGGCGAGCTGCAGAATGTCACGGGACGCATGAGTTTTCAGGTGTGTAATTTTTGAAACTATAATTTTTATACCATATGTATGTGTCCTATATTTAATTCAAATATAAGCTGTTGACTAATGCAAGTTATTACTTTTTACTTTTAATGTATTTTAAATCATGGTTGCAACAACAATGCAAAGCATATGTTAGTCTCGTGCTGCATTTATTTCAAAGTCACATTCACATCTGTTTTCCAACTTTTTTTAATGCTCAATTAAAATTAATTCAGTGCTGTTTTATTGGCTTTTGTACTCGGATATTTAAAAATTGAAGTGCTTGTGTTTGTGTACGTTTTCTTATTGCTTGTAAATAGTTGGCTGGCTTGCTGCCGCCTGCTAAAGGCGCTCGTGCCCTGTATGCGCAGTCACAGCATGTGTAGTTGGGCAACTACACATGTGACGTAGTTTCATTTCGTTGCCAAAAAAATTGTGTTGCCGTTAATCATCGGTATGAACATATGTGTATTTGGCTTTAATTTGAAGGCGGCCACCTACTGATAAGAGCAGGAATGTCTTGTCTGCATATTATACACATATTTATATATACATAGATTTTTAATAATACTTCTAAGGGGTATTATTGGGTTATCAATTTTTGTTAAATTTGTTTTTTTTTTTTATGTACGCACATAAATGGTTTTTTATATATGTTGTTTGTTCTTTACTATCGTTAATAATACAATGAATTTTTTTTGATTTCTAGGTGCCTGGTGGAATGCTTATAACCGGCGGCATGTTAGCCTTTTACCGCACCGTACCTGCCGTTGTGCTCTGGCAATTCATCAATCAGTCATTCAACGCTATAGTCAACTATACAAATCGTAATGCGAATTCACCGACTTCAGTCACACAGTTGGGTGTTGCGTATGTGTCGGCGACTACCTCGGCATTAGTAGTGGCACTTGGTTGCAAAAGCTATTGGTCCAAACGTGCCAGCCCGCTATTTCAGGTAGTAAACCATTTTTTTTTTGTTTGTTCACTTTTCGAAACTGTCTAAACTTACCTTTTACGTCACAGCGATTTGTGCCGTTTGCTGCCGTTGCCGCTGCCAATTTTGTCAACATTCCACTTATGCGGCAAAATGAGATAATCAACGGTGTCGAAGTGAAGGATGAAAATGGTAACATTGTGGGACACAGCCGCTTAGCTGCCATTAAGGGTATTACCCAGGTGGTGGTTTCCCGTATTACTATGGCAGCACCCGGCATGCTGATATTGCCGTTTATTATGCAACGTTTGGAGAAAATACCGGCTTATCGGCGCATACGTTGGATAGACGCGCCCTTCCAAACAGCTATGGTGGGTTGCTTGTGAGTATTAATGGCATTTTCGTTTTCTCGATTGTTTCTAATATGAAAACTTTTTCAGTTTGCTGTTCATGGTGCCCACAGCTTGCGCTATTTTCCCGCAAAACTGGTAATGTGTTCTTCGCATTTACACATTAAAAATAAAATAATAATTACTATTGTATTATATGCATTACAGTTCGTTGAAAACGTCCACAATCAAATTACTAGAAGTCGATCAGTATATGAAAATAGAGTCCAAGACTAAAGGTCGCGTACCGCAGCGTGTATACTTCAATAAGGGCTTATAAATATGTCGCCAAATTCAATTTGATTATGCACAACAGACAATATTGAATTAATGAGTTGCTGACGCGTGGCGAAAGTGTCTTCACTACCTGAAACGGCATTTATAAGAAAATCGTATACAATAACAATGAATTACTGCTGCTGAAAATGTCTCCAATAGGCTAGAAAAATGAAATCTATATAATTTTAAGTCAAAGTAACTGCGTATTTGTAGATGTGATTTAGTTTTAATTTTATGTTTTCTTCGTTCCTTATATCTTTGTATATTATTATGGCACTGGTTCCTTTATGTTGTTGTAAACTATTTATTAGTGTGTTTGTGTTGTTATTAAATTTATCATTGTGATTCGTCTTCACCCTCAAGCGATGATTTGTATACTAAAGACATTGCATTTCTTCGTTTTGAATCACCGAAATTCTACGTGTACGGTAATTACACATGCATATTGGCTTAAGTTGTATATTCACATGTGCCATATTGCTAATTTTTATCTGTGCACATGCAGATGAGACGACTCATAACACATTAATAGATTTCAAGCGTTACCTCCTTATTTTGTACGCTGTTTGTTTAGGAAATTAAGCGTGAAATGTGTACTCCGTATATATTATATAATGCTTATTCTGAAAAACTGAAAATAATAAAAGTAAAAAATTAATAAAAACTGACTGTGTGAATATTAATAGGGCATTAACACTTGTATATAATATAAATCGTCTAGTAAAAAGAAATCCATTACTGTTCCAATATTAGGGGGCTATATAGTCCGATAAGTTTTTGTATTAAAGGCATATTCTAGTCTAGAGGCACACATTTCAGGTAATTTTTGAAAAAAACATTTACATCTGAAGAAAACAATTTCCCAGAAGTGGCCAGCTTTGGCTAATAGAAGAAAAATTGTTATCCGTTAGGACATACCAGAAGCTTCTGCTGCTTGGTTGGGACGTTCTTATGCATCCATCTTATAGTCCCGAACTGGCACCTTGTCCAGCCTGTCATGTGAACGATCGCAAAAAGTGTGCTGTTGTAACGGATAAAGATTTTCACACATTTTTATTTGATATACATAAATATGTACATATGAAGGTAAACGTATCTCACGATCGCTAACTCTGATGAGACGAGTTGAATGATTCTCCGCTCTTGAACTTGTCACCGTTATACATTTTTAAATGTACAAAAAATTTAATAACTCTCCTGTGCGGAGACCGACTGTCTCAACAGCGATGAAAGTACATGTGGAAACAGGGGAGAATCATCATTTTCGTACGGACTTTAACTTATACCTCGCATAACTGTCGGCTCAGGGAACGACTTTTATCTTTCATATTTTTTTAGACTACCAAGTCATCTCAGCTATCATCCTTCCTATGGCATGCTAAAGCGATGAGCAACAAGCATGGGGATGGAACAAAGTTCTGAGTTCATTTGTCGTCAACAAGTTATACTTACAATAACTGATCTGCTGAAACTATCAACAAAAAGTAGATCCAGATATCAGAAATCGCCAATCAGCGAACCATTACAAGATACCTTCTTAGATATTCTGAATATTTACACAACGAGAACGTAATATCTACTGGAGTTCTACCTTCTTCTATCCGGACAGAGAAAACTAACTATTGGTGATATAAAATAATATCAGTATAGTATATAACATATAACTCATTTGTTTAGTTGTTTCAAACTGGAAGCTTGGAGCTAATAGACAAACATGTATCGGTCTTATGCTATGCCCCATGACATTTTTGCAATACCATGGTCAACTTGATTACAAATATGGGTTTCAACTCCACTCAGTTGAATTGAAGTTGAAACAATACAATGTATGTGTACATAATATTTTAAGGATAGTGTATTAAATACTGAAATTAAATAATTATCACCTATATCGCCTTTATATTCCGATCGTTCAGTTAATATGACAGCTATATAATATAGTCATCCGATCTAAACAATTTCTTCGGATATGCATTACTTGTAAGCATCTTGTAAAGCTTACAACTGTTTAAATCTTTACATAAATAGACAAATGTTTAGTTAAGATTTTTCCGCAGTTACTGTGTTGAAAAAAAATAAACATTTCAATAAAACAGCTTCAAATGTTTGTAAACCTGACACCTTTTCGAGATTTCTTGAGACCAAACGTATTTTAAATGACCTCACAAACCCATATACTTGTATACATATAAATGTATGCTGTCACAAGCAACCTCACAGCTCTGACAACCGAACATTTTATACTCTCGCAAAGTCAAATGGTATACTCGTTTGAGAAAAAAATATTATTGTACCTAATACTCACTGTACAAATAACGAAAAGCATCATAAGTAGTATATGGAAGTTGAGGGTAGTACAAGTATTAACCCGCTTTTATCAATTTTTGCCAATACCACATACTACTAACATACCATAGACTAATAAAATGCTCCCACTGTTTCATTAAGGCACCTCACATACCATCACCAATCATAGGGAGTAGGCGGAGTAGTCACCCGGAATTATAACTTCCTTACTTGTTATCCTGGTTGGCAAAATCCTCCACTGAGCCCTCCCCGAGGGTGCCGACTGGTAATAGATACCACAGATTCACGGCACAAGCGGGGACGAGCTGGTAACAGTTCGCCCCTGCCGTAGGCGTGAGGAATCTAGCTAAGGTCAGACTTCTTATCTGTGTGTTCGATGTTCCTCAATAGCACAGCATACAGATAAGGAGCCTTACCATGGTCGGGGGTACTATAAAGGGCTGGATCAAGGTGTCATGCGACCCGTGCCGAGGATCAACCTGGCTGGGTGCCCTTAAATAGCCCAGTCTCGAACGGAGCTTATGGATACCTGGCGCCCTCCGTAATAAGATAGCCTTACTTGCGCAACGGGGGCTATGCGCAAGCGGACATACTTTCCCCCACACTCGTGGGACCACCAATGAACCAAACTCAAATAAACAAACACACAGAATTAAAAACAAAAATCGGAGAAAGCCCGGATCTCCAGGAAAAAAGCCGGAGAGGGCTAGTTGCTCCCAAAAAAGAGCAGCGTTTGGAGCGAGCTCAACAAACACTAAGAGAACAGGAGCGAAGCTTGGTCCAGAAGACAAGGCAAGCACTAGTAAAAGGGCAGAAGCTAAAGCTGGCCCACAGAAAGTGGTAGCGCCGGAGGCAGCCAGACCCAAGCCCTGCAGCCAAAACACGGCTGAGAAGCAGGGGGAGGGGGGAGATGCCAAAGGGGCTGCTGCTGGAAGTGCATCTGCCAGGGAGTGGCCTGCGTTTAGCATGCAGGACCCGTCAAAGGTAAAGTATGCGGAGAGACGACGCGCTTTACTTACTAAGGTTGGTAGAGCTAAAGCCGCCAACGAAAGAGGAGCTAATGAAGGAGCTCCAAGCATCGATTGACTGCGCGAGAGCAGTCAAACCCAACTTAACATTGCATTAACTTTAGGAATCATAGGAAAACGAACTGGCAGGTCCACATGCAAGAGCTGGAAAAACGTATCCCTATGATTCTACCTTTTCAGCCCAATAGCAAGGAGGATCTAGATATCCTCGTTAATCGACTCACGGAATCGTGCCGGCAAGCACTAGAAGTGTCTTGTCCAATAACACGAAGCAGGGGTAGAATAAGGTGGTCTCTAGAACTTGAAAAGCTACAGAAAGAATGCAGAAAGCAGTTCAATTTAGCTAAGCAATCCCAAGGCGAGTCAGACTGGGATTATTATTACAACCTCCTTAGGTCATACAAAAAGGAAGTTAGGAGAGCAAAACGAAATTCATGGAAATCTTTTTGCAATGATATCGAGAACACGGCGGAAGCGTCTCGACTTAGGAAAATAATGGCACAATCGGTGCATAGTATCGGTTATCTTCAGAAGCCAGACCGAAGTTGGACGGTATCCAGTGAAGAGTCCTTGGGGCTACTAATGGATACCCACTTCCCAGGCAGCTCTGAAAGCCACACTGCGGAATATACTCAAGATAGTGGAGCAGAAATGGACCCCACTCTTATAAACATAGTGTCAGAAAGCAACGTACGCTGGGCAATAAACAGTTTTAAGCCCTTCAAGTCGCTGGGACCAGACGGTCTATTCCCGGCTCAATTGCAGCAGTCGCAGAATTACATAATGAATTGGCTAATTGCCATTCTTAAGGGGGCGCTGCAATTAAACTATTGTATATCCCTTCGCTTTGGAGGGAAGTCAAGGTAATATACATACCAAAGGCAGGCAAAAGCTCGCATACAAGTTCAAAGGACTTCAGGCCAATTAGCCTCTCCTCATTCCTTCTAAAAATTCTGAAAAGACTAATAGAATTACATATAAGAAACAAACTGAAACCAGAATAGTTGGCTGGTTAGCAGTATGCGTATTCCAAAGGAAAATCCACAGAAACAGCACTAAGCTCTGTGGTGGCGGAGATTGAAAAATCTCTGGAAGTCAAAGAATACACTCTATTTGCCTTCTTAGATATGGAAGGAGCCTTCAACAATATCCAGCCTAGGGCCATACTGAGTGCGCTTAAGGATCTAGACATCTCTGAACCTCTCAGGAAATTAATTGAACAGATGCTCACGAGCAGGTCAATAATTTCGACGATGGGAGCGTCAACGATGTGCAGATCTGTCCAAAGAGGTACACCTCAAGGAGGCGTGTTATCCCCACTTCTCTGGGTCCTGACAATGAATAAGTTGCTGGTGGATCTAGAAAAGAAGGGGGTACATGTTGTGGACTACACTGACGATGTGGCAGTATCGGTCAGAGGCAAATTCCCGAATACTCTCGCAAACCTTATGCAAACGATCTTGGACGATATAAATCGTTGGGCAGTATCGTGCGGATTAAACTTAAATGCTGGTAAGACAGAGCTTGTATTGTTCACCAGAAAACATAATGCTCCAGAAGTCACGGCGCCAATAATAAATGGTTGCAGACTAACAATTGGAGACAAGGCAAACTACCTGGGACTAATCTTAGACAGGAAGCTTTCATGAAAACAAAACTTGGATGCTAGGTTGAAGAAGGCAGCCACAGCACTCTACACCTGTAAATAGATGGTGGGCCCCAAATGGGGGCTTACTCGTCGGGTAACTTATTGACATACGGTATATTGGTATGGTGGCCAATAATGGAAAAGAAATACGCGGTAAAGCGTATGGAAAGTTTACAGAGAGCAGCCAGTATATGCATTAGTGGAGCTCTTAGAACAACGCCAAGCCAGGCTCTAAACGTCACTCTACATTTACTGCCAACAGACCTCTTCTGTAAGCAAGTGGCAGCAAAGTCAGCTCTTAGACTGAGGGATTAATTAAAGAAAGCCTTATGGTATTGACAAAAAGTGTGCTCACAACAAGGAGCATATATATATATATATAAGAGGAGACTGCAAAGCATCTTCTATGCGAATGTAAAGCTCTATATAGGAAGAGAATCGCATCTATCGGTCGTGGATTCCTTGACGACGTATCAGAAGTTGCTAATATAAAATTATTTGTACTGATGAACTTCATGAGGAGCACAGGTTGGTTCAGAGAAGAGACAATAGAGTGAAGGAACATTAGTCCCGGTGGTATCACAATGGGCCTCCTATAGGCCTAGGTGCGTCATTGGACAGCCACTCTACCTACTTACCTACTTGTTATCCTTTAGTGCTGTTCTGCTATCTGATATTAGCAGTGCATCCTGGCTAAACATTCTCCCCGACCCCGTAAAATTAATTGAAGTGATATTCGTTTATAACCACTGTAGAAAGACTAATGTCTGTATAAGTATGTATATATGTTATGTAGTGAAATTTTTATTTTTCCATGGTTCTTAATTCTTATAAAAATACTGGAAAACCGTGGCGGCCAAAATTCTGAATTGCGGCTGCATGTATGAATAAGTGAGATTATGTGCAACTGGCATTTCAGAACATTAGAAATTCTTACCTAATTGTAAATATTTCCGCAACATTCCTTCTATCGCTGAAATTACACGATCAAGAACTTGATTTCAAGTTGATTACACGAACTACTTGTCAAAATTGATTTAAATTGACAGCCGTGATGTAAGCTGCAAGCAACTTTATAATCAATAATAGTGTAACGGATTTCTCGATAAAGCGTCCCCCTTGTAACTCACTCTTCAGTTCGCTCACTGGATTGTTAAATAAAAGTCCCAATTTAATGCTACAGACTTATCTTTATTTCTAATTCCAACAAATTAACACTTCTTGCTCGTTATTCGAGTTTACAACTCATTGCTTATAGTTCGATTGCTCTTCTTCGCTACTCGAACATTTTGGCAACTATGAATTTCGCTATCTAGTTGGTTCTAGCAGTTTATCGTCGATTCTGATTTGTTCTGGCATTCGTTTTCGCCACACTGTCCTCCACCTAAGTCTAATCGTCCCGATTAGACATACTTATTTGCGGTACCAAACGTTACTGATTGACTACTATCTTTGTGGTGTTCTATAGAGAAGTTGTAACTTTGGAGTCTCTCAATCCACAGTGCCAATTTAAATGCTACATGATCTGTCCTCACCCGAAATCGCTGGTCATAAAGGTACTTATGAAAGTATTTGATTCCAGGTCGGGTCTTTCAGTGCAATGCTTTTAATACCTGGTCCATAAGTCTCTTAAAAGTAACTACTTTTTAAATCAAATGCTGAGAATCATTTTGTTCCTGATAACGTGTCCAGCGTGTCATAGATTCTAGGAGTAGACTATCTTTCTTCTTCGCAGATACTACAGGTGAGCTCCATGGACTCGCTGACGATGTTCGATTACGCCGCTTTCGCTCATTTCACGTATGGTCTGGCTTACAACTTCACGTTTTGCTAAAGGAACGCTTCGAGGAGCCTGGCGGATAAGTCTTGCATCACCTGTGTTAATAAAATGTTTCACAACTTTGGTTCTTCCTGATTTATAATCATCTTTATCAAATATGGATGAGTATCTGAAAAGGAGTTTAGCCTTATTTTGATGGTTTGCCTTGAGTACCTTATTTCGCAATTTATCACGGGCTCAATCTCTTGACAATCCCTTGGAGAGTTTAATTGGTAACTTGCACTCATTAAGTACTCTTACTGGAACACATTTATCTTGTCTTGTCATAGCCAGGGGTTTGCCTATAAGTAGGTTAGGTTAGGTTAGAAGGGTGGACAGCTTAAACGCCGGTCTGTTGTGATTCCCAAAACTCCTATAAGCCGGATCAATAAACCCTTACTTGTCGACAAATCGCTTTGTGCAAAACGTGTGATTGCCGAGATGTTTCAATCTCAACCAAGCAAAAGTCGGACAGTGGAGGATAAAGTGCCGGGATGTTTCCACTTCACCCTCCTCCATACAGCTTTGACAACTACCATCGGGTAGTATTCTAAGCCGCACCGCATGAGTTCCCATTGGACAGTGCCCAGTGAGAACTCCTACCATGGCGGCGAGGCGAACTTTGTTCAAGGCGAGAAGATCCCCCGACCTCCTGGGATCCACTCTCGGCTAGAAGGATCGCGCAGTCGCGCAGGAGCTGGTCGTCGACCAGCGTCTGCTGAGCGTATGCTAGGTCTATTGGTCCAGAGCCAGAATGCAAGACCTTAGTGGAGAACCAACTCGATCCCATTCCGATGTGAGCAGGGCAAGGGTGCCCCCCCCTTTATGAAGTCACCTGTACTAATATACGTGCATCTTGAGCTACGCACTACGTTGACAACCGCGTTTCTAACGAGGACAATTGAGATTGTTGTGCCAACATTTGTGATGACACCTCTGCTATTGGTTGGGTCATACGTTTATCCTGTTTTTTGAATTGTGTCGGTATTTGCGTTGACATCCGCGAACATCAGTTGTTGGAATTAGGAATAAAGATAAGTGTATAGCCATTAAATTGGGACTATTCTTGAACAATCCTGTGATCGGACTCAAAAGTGAGTTATAGGTAGACGATTTATCGAGAAATCCGTTCCAGTATGAATATTAACCGAATAATAAATACTCTTCGAATAGTCGTAACCTTGCGGCAGTAGAAGGGGTATTGGAATTGTTGATCTACTGCGAGTATTTGAATAAATTAAAATTGTTTGAAATCCAAGAAGCCTTTGATTTGTGAACAAAATTGTGTTATTGAATGACAGTGCAAACCGAATATTATTATTCGAATAATATCCTATCCTGTTAATCCGGTTAGGCGATTAGTCAAATAAAAAGAGCTCTAGTATATACTTATGTGTTCCGCATGCAAGTTGCATCGTAGTAGCCGTTGTCGAAATATGTATATCAATGAATAACAAATATTCAAATTAATGAATTTTTCTAGTTATTAGCAAGCGAAGTATTTTCTTTTCATTAAACTCATTTAACGAATATATTAAATAATTGAATTACCAAGATGAAAATTCAATTGCGTTTGTTTTGTATTTCAAATGTCAAAAATTTACTTTCATTTGGCACAGCGAAATGTAAAATTTGTTAACACCATAGGAAATTTTTTCATGCCATTTCAAAAAATTTTACTGTTACTTTTGCTTCGCTTTACGTCAGTCATTTGTTTTGACAGAAAAGTTCGATGTACGATTTTATATAAGTACGTTCACATAAAAATCGATTGATTTGTTTTTAATTTTAAATTGTTATTACAAATGATATATTAGTGCTATTTTATGTTTCTTTTGGGAAAATAACGTGAGATTTGTTAGAACTTTAAATAATTTTACATTTCACATATTAGTGGTAACATTACAGCTGCCCATTACCGTCGGCAAAATTAGAACTGGGTTTAATTTAGCGACAGCGACAACTGCAACCCTGCTGCAGTGAAGTCGTGCTGCTGTCTGCTGTGAATTTTAATTTTTGACAGATGCTGGATGTCGCTTGTCGTCGTCTATGTGTTCAGCGTTTCAGTATCAACTGTCACGTAAAGCAAGGAAAGTTGTATTTGAATGAGCCTTTACAATATTTCAAGAATGAAAGATTACAATGCTTTACCGTTACTTTTTTCGGTTTAGGCTGTGACACTTGTTACAAAAACAAAATGCACTATGCCGCCATGTTCTGACGTAATTCTTTTGAGTTGAGAAGAAGAAGCAGGAAACAGTAGTTTGTACACAAAAGCGTAAACACGTTTTTAATATGTAAAATAGACTTTTATTAGTTTTTAGTGCCATTAATAGAATAATGTTGCGATAAAATATTTGGCTCATTTTTAAAATAAATATATTTATCTGTTGAAACATAATTGCCAATTCAGTAAATGGATTAAAGGGATTGAACATATTCATAAGTTATTTTCGTTTAAATTAGGAATCGTTTAATTCTTTACTAGATGTGTTAAAGGAACATTTCCACAAAATCTCCATTTCCTTGCTGCCGGTAATTTTCAAGAAAGCATTTTAAATGGTTTTAACTTTGGGCTGAAGCAACCTACGAAATCTATAGTTGTTACAAAACAAGCTTTTAAATTTATGAACACCAAAATCTCAACCAAAATTTTATCTCTGACCAAAATGTAGTCGGACTGTAAACCATAAAAGGGACCTTAATGGGAGAAACAAACAACCAAGTTTCATGAACTAAACATGGCTACTTTACGCATTTATTTACGAATAAGTAATTTTGATGTCGACATCATATTCGAATTGATTCTGCTGTAAATTGCAATCGATTGTAATAAAATTGAGAATCAAACAGTTAATAATTGTCTTAAAATATCATAAAGTGATTGAAACAGTCGAAAAAAGTGGTAATTTGTTTTTTTCTACATGTCTAGTCGCCATTTCGTCAACCAATTTCTTTCAAACTTTCCAGTAGTTCCAGACAAAGCGACATTATTTTATATTATTGATTTTTTTCAGATTGCTAAGTGGGTTGAAATCGTACATATGGTCACGTGCACATTTTTTGAGATCCCCCACTTTCTCAGCAGCTAATTTTCGAAATTTTTTATATTTCCTAATAGAAAAATGGATACTAGATATATTAATTGCCTTTTACTTGCGACACTTCAAAATTACCTGAAATTCATGCTTCTAGACTAGAATACCCCTTAAAACGGTATCTTGACGACTCAAGCGTCTGTTTTATTACACGACTGTTAGAGCATTACGTCCGTAATGAGCAAATTGAGCGTTTGAGATCCTATCCGTTCCCAAATGGAGTGCTTGTGTTGGAATGTGCATATTATTTGCTATTAATTACCAAAACTCCCTCTTTTTATTCATTTTTTGTTCATTGAATTTTAGAAAAGTACACCACATTTGATGCAATTCATGGAGTTAATGTTATTTATGTATCTTTCCCCTGCTTGTTGTAATAATTGAATCTTTTCCGACGTGCTGAAACTTTCAATGAATTTCGTGGACATAAATCTTTTTTATACATGCAAGTATATGTAACTTTTTTAGGGATAAAGTAATGTTCCTATTGTAGATTTATCAACTTACAAAAATATTGTTTAGCTGTAAAATATGGTTAAGTATTTTAAAAATTACTTAATAAAATTGATCAAATAATACAATTAATTATTTTGTTAATAGATGTTCATTGAAATTTTTGGTAGCTCTACACGATTTATACTTTACGGCTACCGAATATATTGGTTAAAGTCTTTTCCAGGAGGCTTAACAGAAAATGTACATGTAATTTTGTTTTGGAATAGTCTCAGTTATTTGACCGGTGAACTCTACAAGAGCAATATCTTAATTACGCCAGAAGTATGTATACATTGCCAAATGCTTAAGGATGTGCGTAAAGAAGAGGTGAACGATCTAATGTATTCAAGAGTTTCGGTTTGAATTGTCAATAGAAGAAATTCATAAAAAATTTAACAAAAATTTCTGGTTGCACTATGGGGCAATTAACCGGTTATTTTAGTGAGAGGTTTCTTTTTTGTTTACATAAATTAATAAAAAAGACTTTCCCCCTTAAAAATAACTTGGTTCTAATTTGTGAACGTCGACTGTAGTAAAAAATATGTAACCGATATGCTAACATATAAATTTGTTAGCAGTAACAAACGGGTAACAAATAAAAAACACCCCTGTGTGTGAGCTCTTTATTTCATAAATTAGTGGCAACACTGTACGGTGCCTTACGATGCAACCCTCCAATTTGTTTGACTTGACACACCAACCAATTCGCAGCGGCAATACGGCCATTAGGCAAAAAAGTGAGAGACGAATAAAAGTGCGAAATTTCTTCATAACATTTCTTAATTTTTTGCTTGCAAATTGCAAAATTACGTTTTGCTAATAGTGTGAACGAGAACGGATAAATAAAGAGTTTTAATAACGTTCATTGAATAGTGTGCGCGTGTATTGGATAGGCAAATATATTATATTTTGCAGAGCTTGTGCTGAATCGACAAGTTCTTCGCTTTGCTTATTTTTTATCACTAAATGTGCAAGTCTATTTTCTTTTAATCTATAATAAAAAGTATCAGATACACTCTTCCAATTGTAATAATATTGTTTTGTGTGTTTTCGCTGCAATTATAAAAGAAGTCATACCAATGTGATTGTGGATACAAAGATAGTAATAATAATTTTGTGTGGAATGTTTGACATTCAATTATTACTTTATTTAAACGCAGTTTACTACGAAAAAATGTACACTATTTAAAAGTTATATATGTTGGTTATTCATTTAAATACAATATTGTGAGGAAGAATATAAATTGTAAAACGAAACGAAAGCGTGAAAAGATGACTTCAACTACTAATAGAAATGATACAACAACGAGTATTTGTGACAGCGATAATGTGGGAAGCACCAAAACGGCAGGTAATGCCAACGGGAACGGCAGCGGCACCATAGAAGCTGAGTATAATAGAATTGCTGATCGACAAGGCTGGCATAGGTGCTACCAGGTAAACAGTAAACAATAAACCCGCAGTGGGGTGAATGCGCCCGAAAGAAAAACGCAAGATTATTGTCCAAAATTATTGATTAACAATAAAAAGAAATTATAAACAAAATTTAAAAGATTTTCGAAGTTGTTTGCTAAGCAGTAATACAATTTTATTAGTACATATTCAAATCTTTAAGTAAATGGTATAGAATCTGTTCCGCTAATTCTAACGTTTTTTGTTGTTCCTCTCCTATTAGCCCTGTATTATCTATGTACATATTCATCGCCTTCACAGTTACTATTTTTGTTTTTGTTTTTATTTTATGCTGGCTTCTACGAAATCTATGAGAGAATCAAGAAGTAAACTATGAAAATACATAGTCATTGCCGACAAACCAGCTTGTACATAGTAAGTACGTTATTGTGGTCGTATACACATTTGTATACACTAGACTGTAACGATGTGTAATTTTTATTTACTTGTGTACTTTTGCTTGCGGAGATTTAGCTCAGTGCGTCCATTTAACAGCCATGAGTGAAATAAGTAAATGCTTTACACTAAACGACAAAAAACACTCCACGATATCAAAATTCGGTGGGCATTTCCAGGAAAATAAGCACACAAAGTTCAAATGCAATAAAATGAAATTAAAAAAAGGTTATATGGCCATAATTTTTCCATTTAGAGAGTGTGTCGCTCATGCGCTTATGGTTGACTATAAAATTATTTCTAACTTTCTGAAATATTGAGTAGTTACGAGAGCTTGATAGTCTTGACAAATATTCGTTGCACTGCAATGTCAACTAAAGCGATCAGTTGGTATCAGATAACTAATTATCATAGCTTCTGATCCTATTTCTGGATGCTTTCATCTGTAATATAAAGGAACTGGTTGCGACTTTGAATAGATTCATCTGAATTCCAGCTATAGTTAAATTCCGAAGCCATTAGTCAGTGTGCAGTAATAAATCTCCAACGCAACTACCGTAATAAGAGTATCGAAATACTCAGCGATAGCCAAGCGGCGCTAAAAGCGATATTGGCCTACGAGACTCGATAGCTATTAGTGGAGGAGTGTATAGGAAGGCTTCATCGCCTATCAGCTTGCAACCGTGTACACCTGATCTGGGTGCCGGGGCATAAAGGGGTAGCCGGTAACGAGCTGGCAGATGAACTCGCCCGCTCTGCGGCTGCTACCAGAATGATGGGGCCAGAACCATGCATTACGGTGGGGCCTCATACAATAAAGAAGCTACTCCGTACGGAGGAGAGAGCGAACAGAGACAGTCACTGGCAACAGGCTGCAGGAATGCGCCATGCCAAACTGCTACTGGGAGGGTTCAACCTAGCCAGGTTCAAAATAATGATAAACCTCCCCAGAGACAAACTCCCACTCCTAGTCGCACTCTACACTGGGCACTGTAGGCTCAAGAAACACCTGTCAAGCATGGGCATGGCTTCTTGTGGCAACTGCCGATTCTGCGACATGGGGCCGGAAACACCAGAACACCTGATTCTAGATTGCCCCGCAATTTGTAGACGCAGGCTCAAGGCCCTAGGCTCCACTTATGTGAACAGGGATCACATTGCCTCAATAGCACCCAGCAAGTTGTTGGAGTTTTTCAAGGTGCTGGGACTTTGGGAAAGCATGTGATGGAGGAGAGGGCACAATAGACCCTAGGTCGCAGTGCAAACCTCATATTCATTCTAATCTAATCTAATCTAAATTCCGATGTCCGCCGAGATCTGTTTGCATGAACGGATAGAAGAGGTTCTCCAAATTAAAAAATATTTACCCACCTCAGACCAAAATATAAATTTATGAAAAATTTATTTCAATTAAATTCATTGAAGAAAAAAAGTATATTTCTAAAAATAATTATTTGTCCTAAATGTAAACACACAAATCTGTTGAAACCCGAGGACTGTCTGTCCATCCATCTGTGCAAGCTGTAACTTGAGTAAAAATTAAAATATCTTGATGACACTCGGTACACATGTTTCTAAGCACCATAAAAAGGTGGGCATTTTAGATGTGTAATCGGACCACTGCCACGAAAAAAAATCCAATAAACGAAAACAAATAAATTGTCATAACTAAGCTCCGCAATAAGATACAACACTGTTATTTGGTATAACAATAATCACATTAGTCAGAGCGCAGTTTTTTTTTTTAAGTGAACGTGGCCTTGGCGTCTAATGGGTTTAATGTGCAAATTCCCTAAACCGGTTAAGCTACAATAACCAAATTCACTCTATACAAATCTCTTTAGCATCCTTACTGAGAGTGTGAAAATGTGATAACCTCGCCTACTCCCTATTTAACGTTTTTGATTAAAACGATAAATCCTTAAATAAACAAGTCAGATATTTAGAACTTAACAATTAAGCTTTTTCGGAGCCAACACAAAAAATGGACAATGGGCTGGGCACCGCCTTTGTCCACGGTTGACATTTTACCGAAATTTTCGTTCAATGAGATATATGATGCGAATTCGGAGAGAATACCTTCCTGATAATATTATGTCTGCATATAAAAAAAATGGGTCAATACTTCTCTTAGCCCCCATATACCGAATAGACATATTTTCGAACTTTCGGCTGACTTTATACCGCATATGTCTACCAATACGTGAGTTGTTGTAGATAACCGTTACAACACATGTGTGTTTTTCTAATAAGGGAACTTAAGGAGCATTTTTCCCGTTAGCAAAATGTAATAATACCAAAAATAGATCAAATCGGGCCAATACTACCCCTATCTCCATATGTACATAAAGGAATTTTTGTTATTATACTGAATATGTCGGTCAATGTGTGAGTTATTTACTTATAAAATTGCTTGAAAATATGTTCTCGAGTATAACGTCAAAGGTTAATGCAACAAGCTCAGACCTTTCTCTGCTGCAATATACCCTATATAGTGATTTCCAATTTTTCAGCTGAGTTTAACCGTTTTAGGTTGATCAAATCTGTTTCAATGAAATTAAGTGAACAAGTTTTCTTAAAAAGTTTACAATTATATTAATGATCTAGCGCTGAATATGTAAGGGTACCTTAGAATAAACCTCATATCCCCAATATAATGCATTCCCATCCTCTGCTTGATGTGTTCCCACATGATCTCAATATATAAATTTAGCCACTCCGGTTGAGTTTATATCACATACACTCGCCAAAAAAATTATCCGTACACCTCGACATGAAAACAATAAACTGAGAAATGTGTGATCAAATAACTTATGTATAAAAATAGTATACAAAAGTTTTATTTAGTATTTTTACTGCACTTTCAATACGTTTTTACTTTTAGACAATCACTTCAAAAAAATTCCCAGAACAAAAACTAAACACAGTTACTTAAATTCAACGGAAAAAGGGGATATTTCCCTTGTAATATGGTGACAAATTCATTCCCTTAAGCGCTGATATTGTATTGTATAATTGATCTCGATCTTGACGGTTGACCTTAAAGTTAATATAATTTTTCATTGTGCAAAAATTCGCGATGACCCCTAAAGTTAAAGAAATTAGTGCTGGCGAAAGAAAAATTATTCTTAAACTCAGAAAAGAAGGCAAATCATTTCGAGAAATAGGTAAAATGATAGGAAGGACACATTCTTCTGTGCAGTATGTGGTGGAAGCATTCAAAAAAACTAAGTCGATTGTGCCAAAGCCACGCTCTGGTCGACCAAGTATATTAACCGTTCGAGAAAAACGAACAATATTACAGTCAGTAAAAGCAAATCCTTGACTTACTGCCTCGAAAATATGTGAAAATATTAAAAATTTTTTTTAAAAAGGATCTCCATGAAGATACTGTACGAAAATTTTTGAAGAAAAATGGGTATCACGCACGCGTAGCGCGTAGGAAGCCCTTTATATCCGAAGTAAATAGGCAGAAACGTATGGATTTTGCAAACAAATATATCAGCAAGCCTCGAGAGTTTTGGGAACGTGTCTTATTCACCGTCGAAAGTAAGTTTTGTACTTTTGGCATTAAAGGAAAAAAGTAAGTTTGGCGTAAGAGTGGTACTGCACTTGATAAAGAAAATCTTTTACCCACCGTCAAACATGGCGGACGAGGTGTGATGGTATGGGTGTGTTTGGCGGCAGAAGGAGTAGGCAAACTCGTTTTTATAGATTCAATAATGGATCAATTCGGCTATTTAAGTATTTTAAAAAATAATTTGAAGGAAAGTGCTCAGCAGTTGGGGATTGGTGATGATTTTTGGTTCCAACAGGATAATGATCCAAAGCACACGGCGCACAATACCAGGCTTTGGTTGCCTTATAACATAAAAAATCAATTGCGCTCGCCATCTCAATCTCCAGACCTCAACCCCATCGAGCATTTGTGGGATTTACTGGAGCGCAGAATCCGCCAACACACCATTACCTCCAAAGAAATACTCATAAATGAATGAAATTACAAATCATGACACATCCAAACTTGTTCATTCAATGCCACATCGACTTGAAGAGGTCCTAAAACGTAAGGGCTATCCTACTAGTTATTAGGATATTAAATTTTTCCAAAATAATTGAATTATATTTTATTATAATCAAAATGTACGAATACTTTTTTTGTTTCATTATGTGAGCTTTTTTTGTTTTTGGTCTGTGAAATTTTTTTTAAAATGTATGTCTAAAAAACAAACTAATGGAAAGTGTAGTAAAATAGTGAATAAAACTTTTGGATACTATTTATATACATAATAAGTTATTTGATCACAAATTTCTCAGTTTATTGTTTTCATGTCGAGGTGTACGGATAATTTTTCGGGCGAGTGTATGTATGTACATATATTATATTTGAAGTATCGTAGTAGCAAGTAACACCTGTGGGCTAAAAATTTTGTTATATAGATAATTATAAATATAGTTTAAAAAAACTAAAGACACACGCTTTTAAAGAATATCGAACTAAAAAGCGTGGGGCGCTCGATATATTGTCAATAGATTTTATCTTAAGTTCTCGTTGATAGTATTATAAATTTCTAACAGAGGGTGCATGA